TAGCAAAGGAAAATATTCTAGGGCCGGCCCCGTGGCTTGGTGGTTAAGTGTGCACGCTCCGCTGCTGGCGGCCCGTGTTCAGATCCCGGGCGCGCACCGTCGCACTGCTTGTCCGGCCATGCTGAGGCCGCGTCCCACATACAGCAACTAGAAGGATGTGCAGCTATGACATACAACTATCTACTGGGGCTTTGGGGGAAAAATAAAATAAATTAAAAAAAAAAAGAAAATATTCTAAGTAATACCTTTTTTCACCACATAATCAGTAAATCTTGTAAACCTTTTCTCCCAAGTGACCTCCACCTTTCCCTTTAAACCAGTAGTTCTGTAGTTCCTGCACCAGCAGCAGCCGCATCACCTGGGAACTTGCTATAAGTGGGGCCCACCCCTGGGGTAGGGCCCAGCAGTCTGTGTTTCAACCAGCCTTTCAGGTGATTCTGACACACACTAAAGTTGAGAACCCCTGCTCTAAGGTATATCCCTGAGTGAACTTGCTGGATTGTGGGATATGAGCACGTTCCACTTTAACAGGTACTGCCACCCCCTTCTAAACTGGTGATACTCATGTATACTCACCTAGCAGTGTATGCGAGTCCCTGTTGTTCCACACCCTCACCGACACTCTGGAATATGCAACTTTCATTTTTTTTGTGTTAATCTGGTGGGTGTGAAATGGTTGTGATCTTAATTTGTGTTTACTCGATTACTAATGAAGTTGAACATCTCAGATGTCCATAGGTCACTTGAGTTTTGTGTTCTGTGATATGCTGTTTGGAGTCTTTTGCCTATTGAAATAAATACAATTATGTAAACAAATAATCACAGTGTATTGAAATAGTCACAGTATAAGCCCAGAATTCCCAAGAAGAAAGAAACTTGGGGGGACAGAAAGAAAGTTAAGGAAAGAATCCCAGGGGAGGTGATGATCAAATAATCCAGAAAGAATAAGAATTTGTCAGGTGGAGTGAGGGAAGGCTGTCTATGTGTTAGGAAGAGCATGGTCTGATCAGGGAAAAGCAAGTAGTGTGGTGTGGTGGACTAATAGGGTATGTGGAGGAAAAGACATACATAAAGCTAGGAGAAAGGTAGGACAACTAGATGTATATATTTTAAATTTGTGTGATCTTTTACTGATTATTGGGCATTTGGGTTGTAACTAGTTTGGGTGGTTTTTTTTCTTTCCTATTATAAATAAAACTGATATAAACATCTTAGTATATATAGCTGCTTTTTTTCTTTTAAATTATTATTTTAGAATAATAAGTTTAGACTGAAATTATTAGATTAAAGGAAAGAAGGCGTGATTAGTTTCATAATTTCTTAAATATTTCAAGATTACCCATCATTAGGAAAATGTAAATCAAAATCATGGTGAGGTACCACTTCACCCCCACTAGGATGGCTATAATCCAAAAACAATTTTTCAATCCAAAAAGCTTTTCAAAAAAATAAAATAACAAATGTTGGTGAGGATGTGGAAAAATTGGAACCCTCATACATTGCTGGTGGAAATGTAAAATGATGGAGCTGCTTTGGAAAAGTTTGGCAGTCTCTCAAATAGTTAAACATAGAGTTATCAATGACCCAGCAATTATACTCCTAGATATATACCCAAGAGAAATGAAAACATATGTCTACACAAAAACTTGTATGCAAATATTCATAGCAGCATTATTCATAATAATCAAAAAATAGAAACAACCCAAATATCCATTGAGAATTGAATGAATAAACAAATGTGATATACCCGCACAGTGGGATATTATTTGGCCATAAAAAGGAATGAAGTGCTGGCACATGGTCAAACAGGGATGACCCTTGAAATCGTTATGCTAAGAGAAAGAAGCCAGTCACAAAAGACCACATAGTGTATGATTCCCTTCATATGAAAGGTCCAGGGCCGGCCCCGTGGGTTAGCGGTTGGGTGCGTGGGCTCCGCTGCTGGCGGCCCGGGTTCGGATCCCGGGCACACACCAACGCACCACTTCTCCAGCCATGCTGAGGCCGCGTCCCACATACAGCAACTAGAAGGATGTGCAACTATGACATACAACTATCTACTGGGGCTTTGGGGGAAAAAAATAAATAAATAAAATTAAAAAAAAAAAATTGAAAGGTCCAGAATAGGCAAATCCATAGAAATAGAGAGTAGATTGGTGGTTGTCAGGGGCTAATTGAAGGAGGGGAGGAATGGGGAATGACTGTTAATGGGGTTTCTTTTAAAGGGGATGAAAATGTTCTAAAATTAGATTGTGGTGATGATTGTACATCTCTGTGAATATACTAAAAAACACTGAATTGTACACTTTAAATGAGTGAACTCTTTGGTATGTGAACTCTCTCAATAAATCTGTTTTTCAAAAAAATAAAGTGGAAAAAGTGATTACTTTTCAGAAAAATTAGGCTTTTTCTTTTTTTAATTTAATTAATTAATTAATTAATTTATTTTCCCCCCAAAGCCCCAGTAGATAGTTGTATGTCATAGCTGCACATCCTTCTAGTTGCTGTATGTGGGACGCGGCCTCAGCATGG